AATGAAGTAACTCTTAGCAATAGCGGGGCACGCGAGGGCCAAATTACATGCTCGCAAGATACAATTGAAACAACTTCTCGCAATCTTGGAGCACACCAGAAGATAATTACAAATGAAGCAACTCCTCGCAAGCTCGGAGCACGCCAAAAGATAATTGCAAATGAAGCAGCTCATGGCAAGCTTGGGGCCCGCCATAACGCGGTTACAAGCTTGCATAATGCAAACGAAGCAACAAACTTTGGTGGATCAAAACACCAGGATTCTCCCATTTCAAGCTCATTAGCCCAAACAAGTGTAATAATTCCTAAAGGCCCAATTATAATTACAAATGAAGCAACTACTCGCAAGCTAGGGAAACGCCAGAACCCAATTATAATTACAAGCTCGCCAGATACAAATGAAGCAACTGATTCTCGTGAATCAGGGCTCCATTCTTTCCACATCTCAAGCTCGCCAACTCAAACAAATAGAGTATTTCCTCGCGATCTAGATGAGACGGGACATGTTTCAAGCTCGCCAACTCATGCAAATGTAGGTCTTCCTCGCAAACCAGGGACCGGACATGGTGACTAGGGGATCGTTTTTCTCCCATCAAAATTGTACCTGTTGAAATTGTCAAAAGTCCCACATCGGTGGATGACAATTTTGAATGGGAATTTCACCCTATAAAAGGAGGCCTAATGTTTAGGATTTATACACACCTCTCATTTGCCTTTTTATCTTCTTAAGGCATTTGTATCTTCTCTCTTTAGTATTATTTCACTTGTAATTTTGGAGTAAAATAAAAATATTGATTGTGTCCGAGGAAGTAGGCAAAATTGGCCGAACCTCGTAAATTCCGGTGTTCNAAATATTATAATTTTTTGTGATAGTCAAAGTGCTATTCAATTAGCAAAGAACCAAGTTTATCATACAAGGACGAAGCACATTGATGTTCGGTATCATTTCTACGAGAAATCATAGAAGAAGGTGGAGTCACGGTGAAGAAAATTCATACTACGGAGAACCCTGCTGATATGCTGACAAAAGTGGTGACTGCGGTCAAGTTTCAACATTGTTTGGATTTGATCAACATTGTTGAACACTAAAGATTGAAGATGAAGACACAACCAAAATTTGTTATTGAGAGAAAATTGAAGATGTGGAATTTTGCCAAGGTGGAGATTTGTTGAAATTGTCAAAAGTCTCACATCGGTGGATGACAATTTTGAATGAGAATTTCACCCTATAAAAGGAGGCCTAATGTTTAGGATTTATACACACCTCTCATTTGCCTTTTTATCTTCTTAAGGCATTTGTATCTTCTCTCTTTAGTATTATTTCACTTGTAATTTTGGAGTGAAATAAAAATATTGATTGTGTCCGAGGAAGTAGGCAAAATTGGCCGAACCTCGTAAATTCCGGTATTCTTTTATTGTTGTCTCATTGTCTTCTTTATTATTTAGTGGTTGTCATAATTTTTGGTATAGTAGTTGTGACTCATTCACATTATATACATTTGGCTTCCGCAACAGTACCAACCAGTACATTTTGAAGTAACTTCTCATAATAACTAATGGCTGCTCGATCGAGCCCACTATGTATAATAAGTATATGTTCCATGAGAGATCATAGTTATCTTGTATATCTAAATGTGTTGTATTAATACTATCTATGCACTGTGTGCTTTGTTATCTTCCATTCTAGCTGCATATAGAGAGCATGAAATCTTAATTTGCCGAAATTGGAATCTCTACATATACACATTTTGAAGGACCTTAAAACTGGTCACTTTCATATTATTTTATAGAAGAGACAGAGCATATGAGCTGAGGACTCGACAACACACCATCAGAGGCAGATTCGGGATTTGAAGTTTGTGATTTTCTATGACGACCTCAAGTTGATACTATAATAATAACTGGGTTCATAGTAAAATATTTATGGATATTTTGTCATTTATATACATACAAGGATCTAGACAAAAGCTATTGAGTTCACGTGAATCTCTAGCCGATACTCTAGAGTCCGCCTCCGTAGACAATTCATCTAGTAAACAAATATATGTAATTATCTTGATAGTATTTTACTAGGTGATGTAAATGAAGTCTGAAATTGTCTGTTCATTGACATTAGTTATTACCACGATTTCCCTATATAGCACCCCCTTAAAGTATTAGCATTGCAGAATTTGGACATTTTTATCTTTAGACAGCAAACTTTAAGCCATGGCCAAATCAACTCACTTTCTTCTACTTGCCGTCATTCTCATGATATTTACACTTTTTTTGCAACCATTGCAACTCATTAACTCAAACCAACATGAATGAATCAACTCCTCGCAAATTAAGGGCACGCTATAATGCAGTTACAAGCTTGTCAAATACAAATGAAGCGACTTTTGGTGGATCAGGGAACTGTTATTCAGCTAGCGATTCAATTAGGCCAACTCAAAAAACTGCAGAAACTCCTCGCAAACTAGGGGCACGCCAGAACCCAAATACAAGCGTGTTTAACACAAATGAAGCAACTTCTGATGAATCAAGGCACCGTTATTCGTCTAGTGAATCGAGCTTGCCAACTCAATCAAATGCAGAAACTCGCAAACTTAGGGGATAATAACAATAACTACTACTTCTACACCTTAGCCTCAAAAATAAGTTGAGGTCGGCTATATGAATCCATACAAACTAGGGGGACAATAACAATAACAACAACAACAACAACAACAACGTAACAACTATTACTTCTATGTCTCAGTTTCAAACAAGTTGAGATCGGCTATATGAATCCTTGCAAACTAGGGGGGACAACGACAATAACTACTACTACTTCTATACCTCAGTCTCAAATAAGTTGAGGTTGTTTATATGAATCCTCGAAAACTAGGGGGACAACAACAATTACTATTACTTCTACGCCTCAGTCTCAAACAAGTTGAGGTCGCCTCAGTCTTTCAACTATTGATAAATTCTGACTTTAGCCTTTGTGATATCTAACTAAGCACATTTATCCTTTAATTAATTGAAATGTGCACTTCTGATCCCTTAGCTTGTGAATATTTATAAATTTACTAGAATTATTTATCATTTTATCATTTAATTATCCATGTGTTATGTTAAATTTGTGTTGTTACTCCATATTTGAGGGTGATATGATTCTAAACATAGTCCAATTAGTATAACATATTTCTTACATATAGGGACCAAAACACACACATTTTAATTAATTGAAGAGTCAATGTGTTGAGTCATATATTACAAGGATAAAAATAAGAATTTACAAATAACTGAAGGACCAAATTTATAGTCACACAAATTTCTAAGACTTGTTTTAAAGGACAAACTTCAAAAGTATTACATTTCTTTCGTGCACATAAATTGAAAAGCAAAAAATATACAAATATACATTCATTATAATTCTATATAACTAATAGGTGAATTAAACTATCCTTAAATAAAGGGATTTTAACATATTTGATTGGTCCGCTAAAAATAATTATAGCGGCTAGCCAAATATAAAAAGTATATATTGATTATAAATAAAATATATTATATTCAAATATAAAAATATATATTTTTTGACTATTACTTTGAGGTTAATTATACCGTAAATCCCAAATAAATTCTGGTTCTTTAATCTTATTGACACCTCTCCCTTTCCCTAGGTTTTCTCGGTACAAATAAGAAATTCCCACATCATAGGTGTGTTTGGTATGAAAAAAAATACTAATAATAGAAAAAAACTGTCTTTTTTGTATACTTTCCCCGGTTGCTGTCACTCGGACTCGAACCGAGATGCATTAGCACTGCTTACCCAACATGAATTTTTAGCTAAAATGATTTTCGGGAGATAGAGAAAGATATTTTCGGGGTTGGAGTCACCGAAGTGGACGATAGGCAAGAGAAGACGCGTACAAAAAAACTTTTTGAATTCCTGGTAGAAAGAAAGCTCACATCGACGGGAAGGTTTGGCACCTCAATGTTGGTTTATTCGAAAAAGGCCTTGTTCTTTGGAAGATCTATCTTGTGTCTGGAACCCATCTTTCGACTAACCTAGCCTCCTCCGTCCCTCGGGACTTTTTAGTAAGTGTTAGTGTTCCAATAACGTCTTGGATAAGAATCTACAACGCACTAGAACGCCCTTGTTGACGATCCTTTACTCCGACAACATCTAGGGTTCCTATCACTTATTTTTCCTTGTTTGGTTGGTGAGTACAAAAAAAATTTCGGAAAATATTTTTTAGTATTTGGTTAGAGAGTGTAAAATATTTTTAGAAAAATAATTTTTTATGCTATTCTCCTAAACCACCTTCCCCAAGTTTCTTGTACTACTCCCCCATCCCCGACTCTATTTTCTTCAACAATTTAATTATTCTTGTGAAAATTCATACAAACTCAAATGAACTAATGTGCTACTTTACTTTTTCACACAAGAACAACGTTGAAATTTGAGCTCGATAACTAAAACGAAAATATTTTATTTTGTTGAAAAAAATATCATTTCTACAACATGAAAATAAATTAATCATTTTGTTGAATGAAAGAAAATATTTTTTCTACATCATGAAAAGAAAATCCTCAATTTGTTGAAATGAAAGAAAATATTTTTCTATATCATGACAAGAAAGTACTTATTTTTTTTAAATGAAAGAAAATATTTTCTCTAAATTATGAAAATAAAATACTCATTTTATTGAAAAGAAAATACTTTTTTACATTATAAAAAAGTATTCGTTTTGTTGAAATGAAAGAGGTGGGTGGGGGTGGGTTGGTGGGGATAAAAAATAGGGTGGAGAAGGTTGAAAAAGAATTTGGAAAATATTTTTCCTTCTTTTGATAGGGAAAATATTTTTTTCCAATCGGAGAAAATTGAGTTCATGAGAAAAATATTTTTCAAACCATTTAAGCCAACCAAACATGAAAAAATTGGAAAACATTTTCGTTCGTACCAAACACACCCTAATTTGGACTTGGGAATAAAGAAGTGGATGCCACAATGTCGTATAGTTTACTCATCTTATTTCCTGCTGATCTCTCTCTCTCTGCTGAAGACTGAAACACTAAAACAAGAAGTGAAGAATAAACTTTTTTAGAGGAAAATGACGACTTCAAATTTGGAAGTTCCTTTGCAAGTTCCCACCTTTCATCATACACCTTATTATTGGTACACTCTCTCTCTCTTTTTTT